GGGCAAAATGTATCTATGGAACTATTTTGGTTGCATTGTTTTACAAGAGAAACTTCGTACAGTTCCACATGCAAAACAGGAAAATAACAGCAGCATTGTTTACAGCAGTATTCACAGATGGCTCTATTTCATGCTACATAATCAATTTTATTTTTGTTGGTATAATGTTACAAACAGAATAAATTAAATGATACTGAATGAAAGATGTCTTTCCCAATTGAGGAAGTGTAGGGTACAAAGTGTTCTCTGGGATATCTTGCATGCAGCTTTGCTTTTCTTGCTCTATTTACCCGCAGCCATTAACCTCAGTACTAAAGGTTTGTGTCTGTGGGGAAAGTAGAATACCAAAAGGATTGTTTTGCCCTCAGGAAATATTGCCTACCCAGGAAGACTCAGTAAATGCTGCTGTTGTAAAGTGAATTGTCCAAATACATACCCTTTAAATTCCCCTCTGTCATCAGTTGCTCATTATAGTAGGACTCCAAAAGATACTCCATGGGTTACTGGAACATGTTATACCCTCATTATTTACACAAAGAAATTTGGGAAGCATTTTTTACAGCTGCCTCCCCCCTCTGCCCCTAGGTTTCTAACTCCTAGTTTTCTTCTGCTTTGTCTTTTATAGTCTCTTCCTGATTTTAGAGGTTAAAGTGGGGGGGAGGATCTTTAAATTTTCACAAGTGAAATAGTGAGGGGATTTGCTGAATAGCAACACTTTTTCTAGGCTCTTAATTCTGAATTGGTGCACAYAGCCATGTGTGCCAGTGTATATAGACATTTTTAAGATTGTGCTTCCTATTTATGAAGTTTGAATATATGAAATCTGCAGACTGTTCTAAATAATTTTGTTCTCTGAGCCAGTTTTAACATATATTTTTGTCCAAAGACCTGTCTGATTTATTGACTTCCTCTTTAGTTCACAACATAGGTAACAGTGGAAAAGATAAGGCAGGAATAAACCTATTTATTTTGTTATATTTAGCTTGTGATTTTTTTTCCCATGTGTATGGCACTTACAAGAGATACGTGTGTACTATATGCACTTGTATGAAGATGATAAATTGTAGGGATGTATGAAATCTCGTATTTGAATAGCCTCTAAGTTGCATGCTAGAGACAAAAGGGGGAAAGGGGGCTGGGTTGGGTTCTTTGGTTTTTTTAAGAGGGTTAAAAATAAAAAAAGAAGCGGTGGTTTTTCTTCCTAGTGAGAGGAAAATTCTGTATTCTCTGTAGTTACTTTTTTTCAGAACTGTATACTGGTGTTTATACTGAAGCTGAACCATGCGTTTAGTCCAGGCTCGTATTTTGATTTCTTTTAAAGAAACAGTTTGTGCTGTGTTTCACTGCAATGGAGAGGCTCAGTGAGATGAAAACAAGAGCAAACACACAGCCACACGCCACTTCTGCTTTGCAAATGCAGTGTTGTTCATAGTCACTTGCTTCTCACTKGTTGTGATGTGAGCTGTGCAATGTAAGCGTTGCTTGCAGTCCAGTGGTGATCCTAGACATTGCTATGGGGATTCGTGGAAGTGCGTGTGTGCGTGGGCACTTGTTGCAAACACTGCTGAGAACCACTGAGCACTCTTGTCAGAGGTCCGCTTTCTGCTTCCTAAAATCATGGATAACCATGGCCTGATCAGAGGTAGAGATAAAACTATTTCTGTGGGAAGCAGATATTTAAGGGACACGATGAAGTGGTGCATAAACTGTAGTATGGGGATATGTTTTAGTGTTGCGATTAATGTACAATGACTTGATTTTACTGCATTTCTTGTTGTTATATAATTTAATCTAAGGCTCCAGAATAGCATATTGCACAAGAGAATGGTGTTAGTATTCCAGGTTAGTACTTAACTCTGCTGCCTGACTGATGCAACAAGATAATTAATGGCTTGTGAGTATATTGTTTAACTGTAGACATCTGGTTTATGGTAATTTGAACCTTTTTTTCTAGAACTTTCCATATATATAGTAATAAATGTAAATATGGTATATAACCATGTACAATTTAGAAGATTAAATACAGTGCAGCCTTTCCATACATTGCCTGAGGAGACTTAGTGGACTCTTGAATACACAGTTATCATGCTCCTGGTTCCTGCTTATATGTATGCCCTCCACTTCACTTGTTTTTGTGGTTCTGTCTAGCTCACGTGGTGAAATCTTTAACTCACTTCACTGGGAAACGATGAAGATCTGAACAAGCAAAAGTATTTAAAGAAACAACTGTTTCTTTGGAAATCTTGGCAGCCAGGAGTCTGTGAAGTTACTGTTCATCCTAAATAGGTGCTTRGCATTAAGCAAATGAATGCTTGCAGAACCAGAGTTTAGCAAAAAAAAAAAAATCTCATTTGTCCAATTACAGTATGCGCATAAGATTTCTAAACTGGAAGGTCCAGAGTGTGCACGTCTGGGAACAGCCTTRTAAACAATGCATTTTACTCTGTAAGCTGAAGGAGTTTCAAGAAAATGGAACTCAAGAGAGAAAGCTGGCTGTTCTCTAGACTGTTGCAGCAGTCTGATAGATCAGATATGGGGATTTTTAACAGATGCAAAGGAACATTCCTTCAAAGGTTTACATTCCTTCTTCAGTGACAGACCTGAATTTTTTCTTTCATCCTTGCTGCTTCATACAGTCTAATTAACTCTTCAGTGTTTACATTAAGGATGAAACACCCCATGTATTTTTTATTTTTGAGAAGTTTCACACGTTTGTTTTGAATCTTGTTTGAGTCTCAGTTCGGATTTCCAAGTTTGCTAGCTTTCCTTCTTTTCTAAAAGAAATGTATTTCTCAAGACAGCAACATGGTTTAGATCTCTTGTATATATTTAGCGCAGTACCTAGACTATGAAGTTGTACTATTGTTCTGTAAAGAGGATGAATAGAAATTATTGTAAAGCGTTGGGAAAAGCATAGTATTGTATTTGTAACAATATTGTTCTTTGTAAACATTTAATGATCTCTATATATAAATATAAATATATATATAAATATATGTGGGCCTGGAATGTTGATATTGCACATCTACTGAATGTAATTACTCTGATGTTTTCTGCCACGGGTCTCTGACCTATCTAATGAAGTTGTGCTGGTTTGATTTAGGGGAGAGACAGAGGGGAGAAGAGTGGGCTTTTTGCTTTGGAGGGGACAGGGTAGGGGGTTTCTGGCCAGTTATTTTGTTGTGATGTATTTACTGTGCTACATTCCTTTATTTAACAGAGCGCTAATGTCTGTAAGATTTGCAACAATAAACTACAAAACAAAAATACCTCAGACAAGGCTGAGAATTTGCTCATACTGACCTAGAGGCTGACTTGCCAACACTGAATTCATACATTATTGGAAGATGTCCAAACTTACTTTTTGCCACTTAGTCTGAAGTAATTTTCTGTGTTTCTGCAGGTGTGATGCACCTTTCTTTTTAAAAGCATTCCTTTCTGGTAATACCCTAGTGCTTCWAAACCAAGCTGTTCCTAATTTGTTTTTTCTCCTGTGTGAAATGTCACTGTGAATGTGACAAATACTATTACATTGAATAACTTTACATAAGCTTACTACATGTATGGGGCTTTGATAAAAATTTTTCACACTTAGTGTAATTTCTGAAATTATTATTTTCCTTCAAATGTCATCAGYATGGTTTGTTATTAAAGACCTAATACTAGCTGAATAAATAAGAAGTAGAATTGTAATATGGCTGTCCTTAGAATTAATCCTGAAACAGCCTGTGCTAAGGTTAAAAAATACTTATATGAGAGATTGGTTATGAARAACATGGTTCTGTTTGGAAGTCAATCAAAAAAAAGTCATCAAGGAAGTGTTTCTTTTGCTGAGGCTTCATAGGATTTCCTGTGCCTCATAGGTTGTCACGAGTATTTTGAAACTACAGAAATGAAAATACACACCACAGCAATTGTGAAGTTTATGGTGAAGGGTGCAGTAGAGAGGCTGAGCTTTGCTGTGTTCCCAGTGTGCCACCCTCCATACTTCTGTTTATTCTCACCATTTGCTGTACATACCAATTCCTGTATGACAAACTTCTGGATTTCAGTGGATAAACATAAACCTCTATGCAGTACAAATTTCACAGATCTGCTGTACTGTCAGGAAATAGGTTTCTTGCCCTTTTCAGTATTTTAATGGTTTGGATCCACACTGAGTACAAGCAGACTCCATCCCAGCTGCAGTAGTTTCATGCCTTGCAAGCTGCAGAGGTGATGCTGGTRACCTGTGGGGACTGACAGTCAAGTGTCAGGGCTGCGAACTGTAATTTAGATAAATGTTCAGTGCAGAAGCRTATGGAACAATCCTGACCTTTAAACACAGCATGTGAAGAGTCAGTGATGCTGTGCCCGCACCAGAGTAGGGCCAGGCCTGTGCTGTGCTGCTTTGTCCTGCTTCTGCAGATAGACCTCCAGGGATGTCCCTCGGCCACAGGATAAATTTAGATGGTTGGTTGTTGGAAAGGAGCCTGCAGGACGCCCCAGTGGTTCTCAAAATGGGAAAACCCACCCAGCAGTTACATGTTTGTCCGTGTCTTTGTCTAGAAGTGCAGCAGTAAGGTCCTGTGTGAACCTCCCTTTTGTTGGACAGTGGAAGTGATGAATAGAGTTGTTTTCTTCTAAGAAAAATTCTAATTAGTTCAAATAGGGTAAAATGGATGGGATCTACACAACTTCTTGTGTTCTCCTTGATGCTGTGCAATGTGGGGTTCCCAGCACCTGAAAGAATATAAAATTAGCTTCTTTCATCATAGCATCTGCTCTAATAAACATTTTAAATGAGACTATACAGAGAGTATCTTTCTTCCTGGGATGGTAACAAGCCAGCATCTCCCACTGCAAAACACCTGTGCTTTTGGTTTGGGATACTGTTGCATCATTAAGACAAAAATAATGTTCAACCATTAAATGAGAAGTCCACTGAACCAAAAGAACACTTTAATTCTGTTTTTATTTTTTGTACACTTTGCAAATCCACGACCCTCTTACAAAGAAAAAATTTAGCATTCTGAACACCGTTTTTTTACTAACTTTGTATCTGAAGGTTTGCATTTTATGACAGGAGATTTTTATTTAAATCAAAGTTCTGTAACATACAAAGTTCTTTGACACAGCTTTAGACAGCTCCACCCCCAAAGATGAGTTACCATTGTAGCCCACAACCGCATGTTACCAAACTCCACAGAGAAGCAGGACAGTAATGCATCACAAATAAATAGAYTGAATTGCAACTGAGAGCCCAGTAAAGGTCAGCTTGCAATCTGCTTAACAGTCTTTGTAGAATCATCCTCCCCCTTGGAGTTGGTGCTTGAGAGTATAAAAAAAAGGTGATTGTTGATAAAACTCCTCCACCCAATTGCCAGAGACGGTTTTCCTCTGTAGTTACGTGCATATCTGGCAGAAGTGCTCTGCTGAGGARTAACCAAAAAGCCAGCTCAAAGTACAGTTTCCCTGACAACTCCAATAAGACTGTGACGCCGCTCATGTTCTGCTCTTTGGATTCTCCTCTCTGCTAGCTGTTCTCCCTCTGTGGTGAAAGTACTCAGGTCACCACAGCTCTCCAGGTACAGCAATCGAGGATGTAATCTAAAAGGTAATACACGAACTCTCAATGACATGGCTTGCTGGGCAGGTGCCATCGCCTTTAAAAAGAAAATAAATTTTAATCAGTTTTGTTTTCAGGCTCTAGTTTCATTTAAATAGTAATTTACCCAACCAGAAAGAAGCTAGTTGTAGTGCTGTTATGTTTAAAAAGCAATTAAAAAAGCTGTAAAACCCTAGCATTCACCAAAGAGGCATAGGAAAAGCAATCCTAGTTGGGAAAAGCAGTGGGGTCATTTTTTGTTTTGTTGTTGTTTGTGGGGTTGTTGGTTAGTTCCTTTGGTTTCCCCCTCAAGGGTGCACAGGAATTCTCTCACTCCAGCCTATGGCATGTCTGGTATTGTTTAGAAGGAACCTAAACGTTGCTTCCTTGCAGAAACCACTGAACTGTTAATAACTTTCAGGCCAGTGTGATAAATTAAACTCTCATAAGCAATCTTTTTCCCCTACTGTTTCTGTCAAATTTGTCAAGGCTTTTGTTGCCTGAAGGCTGCAGTGGGAAATCACACTTTATCTGCAGAGCCTAAATGACACTGATGCGTTTTGCATGAGAACCCAAACCAAAACCAGTTGTCATTGCAAATCACTTGCGCTATGTCTGAGTCAATTCATCTACCCAAAGAGTCTATAGGTTACCAAAACATTTGTTTGGTGAAGTTTGCAGCATCTGAAACTTCTGAATATTCATTTCATTCATGTAAGGACGTATTTTCTATCTTCTGCCTTTCTTTCTTTAGTATGAGATCTTATTTTTATCCTTTTAGCCAATCACAAAGAAGTTGCTTCCAGTGGGTTTACATAAAAATTTCCTTGTCAGCCTCCATTCCTTCTGGTCTGTAATAGCAAATGTTTATTTTTAACATCTTCTCCCTCTCCCCTGCCGCACTCAGGATAAAACGCTTTAATGTTATTTGCAGTTCATGATTCCACAACAGAGGACWGACTCAGTTTTTAAATACACACATACTCAGTCTTCTGGCTGACAGAGCAGAAAACATCACAGCCTCTCACACACTCCCTACATCAAACGAAAGCACTGAAGGAAGCCAGTTTGGTCCAAAAATTTTGACACACAGAGTGGCAGATGTAAACCTGTACTTCCAAACCCAGGGCAGTGGGTTTCCACATCACCTGACAAATACAAGTAATAAAACTACCTGCTCAAGGAAAGTGGCACTGGTGACAGCTTCTGCCATATATTTCTCATCTGATTTTAAAACAGATTTGATATTTTCCACCAAGTCATCAATGTCTGGGCTCATGCTGCAGGGGGACTGCTCAAGGATCCATGCCACGCGTCGTTTAGTGTCCATGTAAGACTTATAGTCTATCAGAGATTGGGGTCTTCCCCTCAAAGCTCTTGCTCTTGAACTTTTCCGCAAGGTGACAGCATTCAGTTGATTCGCATCATTGAGGGTTGTAGTTTCACAGTAGAGTGCAGTCCCTGAAGACAAAGATGAAACAAAGCAAATAATCCATATGGTTCATAGTATTCCCTGAGATTTCACTTCTGATTCAGTGAGGATGCAGTGCACAGTTTAACCATGTAAACAGTCTGGCATGGTAGTAWGGAGGGCTCACTCTACTGGACTTACACAAAATGCATGTAAAATAGTCACACATAGCTATGGTTGAGTGCACATCACATGTCAAAGTGTCTGGAGGGACTCTTTGCCTTTGGAAAACTCTTGTCATTTTGTGTACATTGGTTCCTTTCTCTTGTTCCTGATCTGAAGAGACCAGAAATGTGTGTTGAGTTTTAATGTAAACATACAGTTACACAAAACAGGTTAAGCAAAGTTAGAAGGCTTTTAGGATCTCTCCTAAACTCTTTGTAACTTTTGGTTATTAACCAAATATGTAACTCTTAGTCAAGAGGACGAGTTGTAAAATACCTCAAAATAACTACTTGTCAAGCTGGAAGTTACTAATATTCTGTGGAAATTTAATGGGGAAAAAAACCCCGAAACATACTAAAACATTCAAAATTACTTTGCAATGACTAAACGAAGGCCAAGACAAAATCAATTCCACTGCCTTTGGTGTAAACAGGCCAGCAAACTTTGACCCCATTAAAAGGRAAAAAAAAACCCACACCGACACATTGTTCAAGAAGCACTTTAACATTGGCCTCACACCAAAAAAATACCAGGAGATGCAAAACTTCCCATCAAGAACAGTAACTTGATGCAACTTCCATTGCTGCAGTGAGTTCCCTTTCTGCAGCACTCATGACTCTCAGATCCCTTGCTTATCAGACTAACCTCAGTAACACGGGACCTAAAGCTTCCAAATGCTTCTGACGTGGAGCCTCTCCACAGCAGAAGCACTCTGCTTTGACAGCTATGAATAGGCTCTGTGTCATGTAACTATTGCTTCAGCAGCAGATTCTCTGGGCTGTTGMGGTGGAAGCCGACAGGCAGAAAAGAGAAAGCACATGATACAGCAGAGGCATGAACACATTCCAYGAAAACCAGATCGGCATGCTCCCAATATCCAAAATAAATGGCTGTTACTAACATGCCCCATTGGCACTCACATTTTGAAAGCTAACATGTATCAACAGCTACTGTGGGGATTCCAGTGCCCTCTGGTAAAAACTGCAGCACTGAGAGGTGTGTTTTTCAAGACTGTCAGCAATGTCACAAACTTTATAGTCACATTAGCAGCTTTCCCACAGTAACAGAATTAGATCACCAAAGCAGTTTCATCAGCTCCCCACCATGGGTTGTATGGAGTTTTTTTGGTTTTTGATGGTATGAGGATCAAAGAAGTGGGAGCGAATTTACAGGGTAAGACCAAATTGCCAAGCCAAGTCTGCTTTAAATTTCTCACACTGACAACTGCACTTGTAAGATTTTAGATGTCAGTGCACTGAGAAATCCTTTGCGCTCTCCCTCCTCATCTTCCACCATCTCTTCCTCCCTCATACGCAGACTAGCAACCCAGACCCTACTAGAGACCCTATTCCTAGAWGTGAAAACCTAAAGAGCAGCCTATCTCTGGTGAAGGAGTTAGGTGAAGGAGTTAGGTGAGKAGGGTTTGGCAAAGCACAAACTACTGCAATGTACATACTCTGCTGGGAGACAGCAGCAGATTTTGCAGGTACTAGGTTCAGCGTACCAAACTTCCAAAATACATTCTCTTAAAGAACCATGACACAGTCACTGGYAAGAGAAAACAGGGTCACCTTGAGGCAAGAGGCAGTGCAGAAGCCCGGGGTCACTGTTAGATCGTTTCCGCAAGGGCTCAGTGGCTCTCCTGTTCACCTGGGCAGGCACGCAGCGTATCTCTGAAGGGGAAAGGCTCACTCTGCTGGAAGGCTCCTGAATTTCTTCAGCTGAATAAAGGAACAGAAAAACAAAAATAGCCAAAATAAAGCAAATCTGTAGAAGCCATTGTTAGAGACTGTTACTGGGCTTTTCCCCCATTCCAGCTGCCCATCTGTAAAGACTGGACACCAAAGACTGGAGCTCATGTGTGTTGCATAGGCCCACAAYTACTCAACAGTAACACTGCTCTAAAGCCTGTTCAAACATTTGCAGAAACCTGTTCAGGCTTATGCAACTGGAGTAGCAAAAGACTAGAGTCTAGAATGAAAATCATCTTAAACTACCTGATCAGAGAGGAAGGGCTTACTGTTTTATTGGAGAAAAACTAAATCCCACAGAGCTGCAAATCATCCTACTTATAAACAGTTGTACCAAGATACCACAGCATAAGGTCAGAGGTTGGTCATCTTTTGCAATTAGCTAGCTTGTAAATCAGTCATCAGTCCTTAAAAAGAAACTAAATTTTAGTTTCATTAGATTCTTTGCTTTAATATTTTCCTGGTTTCTTGGGATATGTCACATGCTTCCCAATACTTCTTTTCTTCAGAATCAAATTATATGCTGCAATTTAATGAGCGTGAGAGGATGAGTCTGTGCATATTGCTCACTAAGCCTGGCTCTGTACCTCCATCTGGTGGCCCCTCATATATCACAGAAAACAATTTTCTTGCTCATGCAGGAGTTAAAAAATTTGTAGTGGGCTGACCCTGACTGACAGCCACTTCGTCACTCTCCTCTGCAACYGGACAGGGGAGAAAAAATATAATGAAAAGCTCCTGACTTGAAATAAGGATTGTGAGAGATTACTCATCAATTACCATCAAGCAAAACAGACTCAGCCTCAGGGATATTAGATGAATTTATCAAAAATCAAAATATGAGAAGAAGAAATGAGAACTAAATCAAATAACAGTAATAACACCTTCCTCCAACTTTCCCCTTGGCTCTTTCTGCTGCCCTGCAGTGCACAGGGAATGTGGGTTACAGTCAGTTCATCACACGTTGTTTCCGCTGCTGCTCAGGGACAGGAGTCCTTCCCCGGCTCCAGCATGGGGTCCCCCCCACAGGAGAGCTCTCCATTAATTTGTCCACTGTGAGTCCATCCCAAAGGCAGCAGTTCTACACAAAAYGCTGCAGTGTGGGTCACTGTTCCATGGGGTCAGTCCTTCAGGGACAGGCTCCTCCAGCATGGGTMCCCCAAASGGTCACAGCTCCTGCCAGAAATCTGCTCCAGCATCGACTCCTCTCTCCACAATCTGCAGCTCCCTGCCAGGACGCTGCTCCAGCACAGGCCTCCCATGGGTTCACAGCCTTTCYRCAGACTCACCTACTCCAGTGGGGCTCTCCACAGGCTGCAGGTGGATCTCTGCATCCCCATGGACTCCAWGGGCTGGAGGGACACAGCTGCTTCACCAAGGGCTGCACCCCGGGCTGCAGGGGAATCTCAGCTCCARWGCCTGGAGCACCTTCTGCCCCTCCTTCTCTACTGACCTTGTTTTGCAGATCTGCTCCTCCCACATGTTCTCACTTTGCTCTTCTCTGAGCACCATTACATCTGCATAACAACTGGTTTTTCCTTTTTAAATATGTTGTCACAGAGTGGTTACCATGATTTCGTATTGGCCCAGCCTTCAACAGCAGCAGGACCATCTTTGGAGCTCTGCCAGGCACAGAGGAAACTTCAAGCATTCCAGCAACTTCTCTGCCACGACCACAACTTGGCCATGCAAACACAGTACAAAACCAAATTCATGTAAACAGTCTTTTATTCAGAACATGGCAAAAATCTATGGTGTCACTATAACAGATATGTGCCAGTGACGGAGCATTCAAGAAAATTCAGGCTTGGATGATATGTATTTGTTGAGTACAGTACCTTATTTCCTACACAAATGCAACTGAGAAATTCTGAAGATAAGAAATAGTGAAATAAAGCAGGTACCAGCCTGGCAAATCTGATGGTAAGGCACTGCAAGAGAATGTGGCAGGACAAGAATCATGCAGGATTAAAAAATCCATCACCAATATAAACTTTTCAACACCAGTGGAGTTGTGTTAGCAGTAAATCCTGGAGTTACAATGCTGCTGTTACTATGGAGTTGTTTGCTTGATGGATTTTAAAAATTCTAACAGATTAATGAACCAATTTAAGGATCTTATGACAATAACATTAATGTTCCAGATATCATTATTCTTAATAATGTTTCAGAGAGATAATTGTGTTAAGGTGGTGTGGAAACCTTGTATGTGATGACAGAGAGCAGCAAGCAAGCATTTCCTGCCACCAGCAGAAGGCTGCGTGCCTTCCTGCTACAGCCAGCAGGGAAAGTCACATTCTGCTTGACAGGAGTGATTACGAAGCCAGTAAAACAATTTCAGCTGGCACAGGGAAGCCTAGAGCTCCTCCTGCAGCCGGCAGTCAGGATTCCCCTTACTCAGCTGGCGCAGCTTTAGCTTCCATCGGGAGCTGTGTTCTGTTCATCAGCCCTGATGATGCCAAGGGAATCACAGCATCACACACAAATGCCCTGGCGTGACAGCCTGCCAGCATAAACTGAAAGTTCAGTTTTTATTTTTTATTTATAGACTGCTCCACTGCATTGCCTGAGACAGCCCATACACTTCCTCTGCCACAATGTCAACAAAAGCCCCCATCTTGTATTTCCCTCCTGCTGTGGTTTACCTGCAGCAGCCAGCTCAGTCCCTCACAGACACTCACTCTCTCTTTCCCAGTGATAKGGGGAGGAGAACTGGAAGGACAAAAGTGCTAGAACTCATGGGCTAAGGACAGCTGGAGTGAGGAGAAAAAACACCAACAAACTCAAAGGAAAACAAGTGATCCAAAAGCAATMATTCACTACTAGCTGACTGATGCCCAGTCAGTCCCTGAGCAATGACAACGCTGGAAAACACCCCACCAGGTCACAAATCCAAACCAGCACCATAGGCTGCTATGAAGAAAATTAACTCTATTCCAGCCCAATGCAGTACACCTCCCCAATATAAATAAAGGAAGAGATACTGCGCAGTGTATTTCCTTCTCTTAAATACTAYGAAGTCTTGGCATCTAGAAGAAGCAGTGTTAATTTTCTTTCTTAAGATGCTTACACTTTTAACAGGTAGGCTGATAATTAAATGTCATTTAAAAAAATCACTGAACAAACTAGTAAAGATGGTGGAAAGGAGGGTAGACTTTGCTGTTACGTGCTCAGGTATGTCTGCTTCTTCTTGCAAAAGAAATTTTAAAACACAAATGCCTCACATAATGTCTCATCAGAACCTTTTTTCAAAACAAAACAAATCAGAAGAGAGACTTTCTGATTGTCTTTCACTGTAGGTGCAATTCTATKGTATTTTGTTCCTGTTTCCCATTCTCATAACTTCAAGCATGTCACTGCGTRGCCTTTGAGTTTGATAACCTGTTTTTATTTGAGCTTGAGAAGCTCAGAAAAAGCAACAGGAGTTTTACCAGTAAGAAAGCTCGGAGAAAGAAACCCAGAGAAGCTGTAGCAAAAGGTCTCATTCTGTTTATCACAGCTGGTAAGACACCAGAAGCATCCAAGTGCTTGTTTTCAGAGGTTTCAGGCAYGCTGTCAGAGTTTAAGGGGATTTGACAGAGCTGACATTTGGCTAAAAAGTGATTTTACACAAACTCTTGTTTACCCCTGACTCTACATAATAGGAACAATTTCAACAGATGCAGTTCAAACCAAATTTTTTCTGTAGTTTGGTAAGTAGGTTGGGAGAAGACAGGCCACAATCAAATAAAAGATTTGGGCTTCCCCCCCGAACCACTCTTCACTCTCCTGTGGTGTGAGTATTGTACACGAAACCAGCTTGCCATATTGGCAAGTTCAATAGTTGGAACACATCTGCATGGGCTGTACTGGAAAAGCTGGAAGCTAATAATGTTAAAACATAGGAATACATACAAAGATTAGGGTAAAAACAACTGGGAACCATTCGCTCGCGTGGTTTTCTAAAACAGAGCAGAGCATAACTTGATCTGGTCTTTAAGAGTAGTTTAGCTATGTCCTATACCAGGATGAGGAAACAATTCAGTAATTCTTCCCRTACTGAATTCTATCCAGGCTGGATAATGGAGTAATTCCTAGTTTCAGTCCACACAGTATGGCTACTCTATCCTTGTCCTATTTTTACCAGCAACACAATGTTAACAGGTACCATCACATACACTAAACAAATGGAAGCGTAATTTATTGCAACATTTGGATATAGTGTCAAAAACTAACTTATAGATTATTAAAAATGAAACATATCCATCCTTTGGTATCTTACGTGAAAACAACTTTCAATGCATATAAACATTTTAAATATTAATCCTGGTTCTCACTGCCCAAAACAATCATGATTCTCTATCTCCGGCTTGCAATGTGGTTGCTGTCTTTTAAAGAACTAATAATGCTGCTGCCACATCAAGTTGTATGTGTTGGATAGAACATTCTAGACCAAACTTTAAAATGTACTTTTTACCTTCAAAGGACTGCCTGCCACTTAATTCCCCTGATTCAACATCTTCCATGCCATTTGCTTGAAGTACACCTCCCTGGAATAAAATGCAGAAGTTAAAAAATCCCAAGTCACCATCTTTCTCTAGCACTTCRTAAGAAACTCCAACATCCACCTTAGAAATGGAACACTTTTCCTAAACTGCAAAGAAACTGTGTGATGAGAAGTTAATTCCACAGCAATATCAAGGCCAGTGGATGTCTAATATTCATGGTCATCATCCAGTCAGCCAATTTTATCCTATCCAGTATTTTCTGGGAAAAAGCACCTGTCTTTCGCAAACACCAGGGTGAACTGATCACCAAAGATGGCAAAACCGTGACCCAGTCCCTCATGGGAGGAGTGCAGGTACATAAGTGAAGTAAAGCAAGGAGGTGTTTTAGAATAACCAGCAACAGGTGTGCTCCACATTGCTTTTTGCTCCTTCTCCCATGCCTGGGCAGAGTTTTTCAACTGGAAAAAACTTTACAGTTCTAGCAGTTAAGTGATTAATTAAAATCTTTGGTGAAATTTACATTTGTAATTAAATGTATTGACCTGACTTAAGTTTACCATGCTACAGTGCAACACCCCCACACCCCGTTACAGTGGAAAAAACAAAGTCAGGCTTTAAATTCCTGTGGCTCAAACCTGCTCAGAGCTGTCTGAGCTGCACACAGCTTCGTAAGGTGGAGGTGGGTCCAGACGGCGGAACACTTCAACCCCTTTGGTTCGCTTTCCATAAATATATGGCAACGAAATCACGTCAGAGGCAAGTGTCCTGCAATAAATAACATGGAGCAAATCTGTCAGTACAGCTTTCCAGCTGCAGAAAAACATCTGCTACCAAACTCCACTGGCTTTCCTGTGCCAGCTCAGGTTTTGGGATCTAAGTCACAGATMATGAACTTGCCAAGATCTGCAACACATTGCTTCAGAAGATGGCAAGGAATTGAACCTTAGGAGGCGCCTCTCCAGTGTGCTCCCCAGAACTCCAAACATCTTTGGGCAGTACTGCGCAYAGGAACCCAGTTCAGTTTGACTTCAGTTTTGTTACAAAAGATTAAAGTACAGCTTGTCACACAAAATGTGACAGCCTAACCCTGACTGTTGTGAACTACTGAGTTCTTAATTATAAACGAAATCCAAGGTACTTCTGATCCTGTGTTTTATCTTCAGATAGAGGTGCACAGAAAAAGCCAAATTCAAACTAAAGCCTGTTTTTGTGATGATGCAAGAATATATTATGGTTGATCGATTTACAAAGGCTTGTATGAGGCAAATACAACACATTGTTAACCTTACTCCTCAAAGAGCTCTCTGAAACCTTAWACACAGCAGAAATCCGAAAGACCTTTTGCTGCAACATCTTTCTCTTAGGGAGATAGCTCTGGGAGGGAAGAAAACAGAACAGTGCCTGCAGAAACCTAATTTTGATAAACACTACCCCAGGAACACTGTAACGAAATRTGGTGGTGGACAGCAGAGGTGTAATGAAGACCTTCCTCACACAATCCTCAGAGAAGTCTGTGACTCAAAGCAATTCTTCTCTGCATTTTTTTTTTTTAACATTTAAAGGCATTAACATTGTTGATTTGGTGTTAAGCAGGAACCTCAAGTAACACGCAGAAACTCATATTTCAATCTGTGGACTTTGGTCAGGTTTACAGCTATCACTAGTGGATGCAGCTCTTTATAACCCAAGTCCKTCCTCCCAGTATTTAGGGCTCTTCCCTGGCTGCAGGGAACAAAGATGATTGGGAAAATCTATTTCTTGCAAGCCCAGAGGAAAGGGTAGAGTGATGGAAATGCCTATGGAAGACTGTTTTCACAGATAGGAGGAATAAAACTTTAAAAATGAGAACCTGGAAGCCCTCTTATGAAAGGCTCCTGTGAAGGCATTGGAGATAATGCATAGAGAAATGTGAGGAAAGGCTGGTCATTGTTTTTTCAGTGTTAAAAATGGGGAAAATACAACATGTTAAAATAGTTTTTCATTTCGGTCTATTTCATCTGTTCCAAAAACACTTGAGAATACTTTTGGAGTACAATGGAGACAGATACTCCATTGACCATTACTTCTTCACATTTTTTCAGTATGTTCATGCTGAACTTACACTCAGTAGATGCCACAAAATTAAATACACTTTGAATCTTAGTTTTGTTTCTAAACATGCTTGATCTGCCCTACCCAGCTCCGTCACACCTTGAAAATTAATGCCATGTCGAACAAATCTATAATGTTAAAAAACATACTTCAGAGCATGCACCTGGAAACACATTCCCTTGAGTCCTTTAAAGTCATTTCCAGGAGGTACCCAAACAATACTTTAAACACAACTTTACCTCTTTCAAGGCCCCAAGCAATTGACTTGCTGCCCCACCTCCATTGCCTCTTCCCTTAAATTCACGTATCTTGTGACATTTTCATAGAATAAAAGAATATCCTGAGTTGGAAGGGACACGCAAAGACCAAAGTCCAGCTCCTGGCCAACTCTGTRTTTTGTTTTTCACCTGAAAACTCAGCTGTAACTGTCTGCTGTGCTAACCCTGAAAAATAACAATTGCTATTTTTTAACGTATGAAATAACAAGAGTAGAGGCAGGAATTGACCAGTCACTGGTAGTGCTAGTTTGCTTTTTGCCTGCCATTAAATAAGACAAATGTAAAAGTTTCCCATGAAGAAATAAGCAAACTAATTGGCTTTGACAGCTGGGCCTCTCACTTGTCAATTTACAGAGTGGCAGAGAATGGGCTACCGGTTCCAAACATGTCCTTGGCACATGTTTCGATGACTGTGATGTTTCCATTTTCATGGGATGGATCTGTCTTGGAGTAGCCCCACGTGGCACTCGCAGATGGGGGCTCACCTCCCTGTTTGTGGCTCCTGTCACACCCGTCTTGCACACGAAGATTTGGAAGGCAGGGACCCAGGGGCTCAGCACAGAAAGCCAGGGCACAGGTGCCACACTGAGCTCAGGGTGCAGTCTGGGAGGAAGAAGTGTAAGGCTGACTGAGAAATGGCYATGTCCCATCTCAGCCACTCTGTAGGATCCTGAGCTGAGTCATAATTACTCATCTTCCAAAAACAGAAATGGAGCCTAGCTGTTGCTTTAACTTCTTTGCTGCTGCATAACTACCCAGCACACCCTGAAACAAGTAGCCTGACTTCAGAAAGACATCATCATCAGTTAATCAGGTACTATCAACATGTTTAACATAGTCACAGGTAAGGTAGCTACTCAGGTAAGATGCCTTAAATACTGCTCAGCAGACCCTCCTACTCAGGTAAGATGCCTTAAATACTGCTCAGCAGACCCTC